ACTGTGTCAAAGCTTTTGTGTGCTTCCATCCCACCGACGTTAGGGTCTTTAGTACACGAACGTCTGATTTCATAACCTATTCGGTTATATCATTGTCTGTCACAACACGAACAAATCGACTTGAGTCTGCGAGCAATTTTTGTATTTTCTGGAGGTAGCCCTGTTTTTCCTTTAAGATGACACCTGTTCCCGTATCCTGTCGCAGTATTACAATCTTTTCATTGCGTAGCTATTACGTTAAGGACTCGTAATAATCCTTTGTCATGGTACGTCCCTTCTCGGTATTACTGGCTTAGGACTGTTTGGCATGATCTACCCTTGTAGTTGCAAAGCAACCGCTTGTCTCCTCATTGGTCTGTGTTCAACTGGGCAGATGTTCGTACAAATGTACAAACTGAGCCTCGACTGCTATTCTACCATATGGATTCGGTGGAATATAGAAACTGAACCGTAGGGACCAGTTTCAAGTTGGGGGCGACCAACGGGAAAATGGATATCCCAAGCTATTTATAACACGACACGCGCATGGAAAACCCTAGGAGAGACCATCAACTGACGTTCCTAAGACAGCATTAGCCAGCGCATGAATTCAGTCGATAAATCATTGCATGATGCATATACTTACCGATTATGTATGTAATGCCCAGATTTGTCAGCGAAGTTGAGGTTCGAATTGGCCGCCGGTAGTTTGCGTACAGTTCAGCATTCACCTAATGGTGTTTGCTAGCACTTTCTCCAAAGTAGTAACTGCGATCCCGCGACTTTCGTGTAAAATACTCTGCTTCAATTCCTCAAGAGAATTTGGTCTTGTTTTGTAAATTCGCTGTTTCCGGTAACCCCAGTGGAAGACATCCAATGGGTTCAAATCTGGTGACAGAGCAGGCCAATCTATATGTCCTTCTCGCGCGATACAACGGCAAGGGACCGTCTGGTTTAGAAAATCCCGCACCGTTTGTGCATAGTGTGCATGTGCGCCATTTTGTTGTACCCAAGCCGTACTTAATAACCCAGCGGCTTTCAGTTCCGGAATGACACAACTCTTCAATAATTAGTAATGAGTAGACGGATTTCGGTATGATTCAACTTGGTTCATCGCAATTAGATTCCAAGCCGCATAGGTAAGCTGCCAATCCGGAAAAGCACCAGAAGCGCGTTTCGCCTTATTGGGGCCCCTCAGTGGTGCGCATGCATCGGTCCCCTACTGGGGATCGAACCCACAAGCGCTAGAGGCTAACGCCAAATAGCCAGCAGCATATGCCACTGAGCCATGCGGGACGACCGCCGACCATTACGAAATGAAACCTAACTGCGATATAGTCCGACCCATCCTCCACTACCGTGCAGGTGATTGCCTATACAGAGGGCAGTGGTTGGCCGTCATGGTCAGGTCTTCCCTTGCCAGCGCCGTGAATACATACAGCAACATGGAATACCGTTAGGGCTTAGATTTTTGATTAGAAATGAGTAGACGGACTTGGGTATGATTCGATTTAGTTTAGTAATTCCTTGTACGAGGACGCTAGAAAGCGTAAGGCATTGGTACTGCGAAACAACAACCTACCGGTCACATTAGGGGAAAAGAAACATGGTCCCATGATACTTTGGGCAGTTAACCCAGTCTATACTATGAGCTATACGCCAGGTTGTATACGTGAAGCACTGCATCGGTGTGGATTACCCGTTGCCCAAGATTGTTGCTTGCCGCACCGTGCCAACGGAAAACAGCCACATCAGTAAAAAGAATTGAATGGATGTCCATGGCACTCAAAAATCTGCGGCAAAAACCAAGGCGCTCCTCCGAATCACATGGGTTTAAAACCTGCACTTGACGGGCGCTATACTTCCGGAATTTCCTTTCCTTCAAAGCCCTATGGACAGCATATCTGGTGGTATCGCAATGCTGGGCGAGTTTACGAATGCTGAGATCGCAGCAGCAATAATCACACAAGCAGAAATGTCATCCGTAGTGATGCGAGCACGCCATGTACTTTTGGCCTCGCACATGCTTCCAGTTTTCTCAAATTTTCTCACCAGTCTACGAACTTACTGTCCGTTGATAGTTGTCCAGCGATACACGGGCGCTCAACATACATACGAAAAATAAGCACTCGCTGATTGAGGGTAATTTGGTGATGGCGGTATATGCTCGTGATCCATCGTCCATCTAGTGATCCGGAAAAGAAATGGCAAGAATTTCATTTCAAGAATTTCACTTCGCCTGGTCATAGCCTGACTGCTGTGCGTGTATACATCTTGTGACCAGCCTCGCCCTACACTGGTGTGGTCAGCGCTCGTTGCCCACACACTAACCTCCGTCAGTGGACTGATTTGCAGTCGGTTGTCGTATCGGAGTCAGGTTATCGTTTGCTTTGAATAACGAGGTCGGCTGAATCTCCGCACCAGAGTGGCCGTCAGACGCAGTTTGCAGTCGAGTCTCCACTTCACATGCGGCCCGACAAAAGGGCCAGAGAGACAACTGTGACACAGCTTACGCGCAGTCTCATGGACGCTTGCGCTCTTACACAGCGTGCTGATTGGACGGGTTCAGTTTAGAGAGAACGCATCGGGTTTCTTGCAGGCGCTCATTGATGCAACAAACAGAGATGCCGCTGGACCTATATTCTCAGGCTTTCTGTAGGCTACAATGCGCGTGGGAACCAACGGGTGAAGGAGTTTGTCCGTTCTGACTAGGACAGTAGAAACCTACTCGGACTTTATAACATATACACAAGGTATGTACTAAGACATGGAATGGGAGAAAGATAGTGCGTGGCACTAGCCATACAGCTTTCGTCAGCTTAACTCACCTTAGAGTAATGGCGGAACACTGCTGTTACGAGGACTAATCACGATGTGAGTGCACATGATGGCAAAATCGAACGGATGGTGACGAGTAGGTTTAGAGAATCTCACCAGCTAGTGAACAAAACAAATACCAATGTGATCGCGCCACTGTATCGCTGTCATTATTGACTAATCCGTACGATGTATGACATACACAATTAATAAAACTCAACGGAGCATTCCGATGATTGTCATGTAGTCGCAACATAGTATCAACCAAGTGAACGACATGGAAAAGGTGTCATTTTTGGACCGCAACAAACACAGGTTTAAGTAAGTCGAGTTTGAGAGAGCAGTGTCTATGAACATAGTGCGATGCTTCGCCACCAAGTAGAGATATTCGGTTGAGGAGCTGGTTCATACAGAGATTTTCTTGAAACGTGCAACGGTGCGAAATCATAGTGCAGTGAGCTCATGCTACATCAATGGGTTGCTTATCGAGCAGTCGGAGAAGAAATGGATTAACATGACTGCGCATTCTCATACGTTGAACATCCGCATCATCGATAAATCATTACAGTTAGACGAATGACACCTAAGAACCGGATTTGTCGATAATTCGCACGGCCCTATGCTTCACATTACACAGGGGGATTAGTCACAGAGCTCAGTAGTGCAAGTGAATGCTGTGGTGTTTGCCGAAAACTGCGAATTCAGGTCGCAACAGCATGTTGATTGAGATTCAGCACTCATACTATAAGCTCAAGTTATGGTAGTTAGGGTCCTTTAACGAAATGCTTTTGAGACAGAAGAATGAGCTCGAGTAACTAAGCAATAAGTAAAGCTTCGAGCAAGACTTCTTCACTGCAGTGTAATCCTCAGAATGTAAATAAAGACCTCGAAAAAGACCCCTTTGAGTTGGTCGGTAATTTGCTTTCGACTAATGTCACCTCTTCCACAGCTACCAGCTAAGCAGTCTAACTCTCATTGCATCCAGTGTTGTTGCGTGCCAGACGGGAAATGTAGGTGCTTAATTCGCCTTGTTAGTGTGGAGGGAACGCGGATGTCGCTTAAAATAGTGCGGTTCGTTTGATAGACATATTGTAGAGGGGCCGCTTCCAAGAATGGCTCTGGGGAGCTCTTCGGAGCTAGCTGAGAGCGGATCGCGAAAGACGGCTAGCGACGAGCCTGGGCCCGGAATTACGGAGCGGGAATATGTGGACAGCGCAATAAATCAGACAAATACGCCGCTAGCGCAGCCCACAGGACCGATGCCGAGCCGATTGACACAGCCCAGAACAAGCAAGTCGAGAGCTCTCGAACGACTCCTGGCCGATCCAAATCGGGTGCAGAGAAGCGGAGATCGAGGCGAAAACAGGAAAGCGGATCTTCCAAGTCAGAGCTCCCGAGGCGAAAGGACTGGCTCGTCTCTAACATCCGTACCTGTGTTGCGTTGTGGGACGGAAATCTAGTCGATATTCGATGGCGCGCGCGAGACCCTAATGTGCCCATTTTCGGTGTGCAGTAAACGTCTACCCCCTGTCTTGTCGTTCTCGCTACAATATGTGAAGCCTCAAGGAGCTAGGCGATGTATCCATTAACCGAATCGGTTATTAGCTTTCACAAAAATTGAGGACGAGTATTGTGTGCACAGTGTTTCACTTACATTGGTAAGCAATAATTGTGGGTGAATAGAGTTTAAGCAGGATAGCTTCTTCCAAACCACAGAAGGGTACGTCGGGTACCTGCCGATTGCTTCACATTAATGAGTCTTTGTCCACTTCGCCAGATTTGTGTGGAATCGAATGGATGATGGCTATCAGGATACATGCACAGACAATTGGGTTATCATTGCAAAGCCGAGGGCAGCTGAGCACCCACATCATACTGTACCACTGTGAACGCAATAGGTGACATGCACGAAAAAGCTTACTAGAATGCGACCACAGTGATGTGTTACTGGCAACCAATGAATGCTCTAAAGAAAACATTCAGCGTCCGATCCATCCGAGGATAGCCGAGGCCACAACGTAGGACGCAACCGTAGGTGGAGGGAATGTAACATCAGATTCCCTCATGACAAAAATCTTGGCAAGCCATTTTATCCAGAAGCCATGAACATCGGTGCATGCACAACGTCTATTGTTGTTGTATGATGTCACATCAAACAATCTATATCAAGCAAAAACTGTCTGAAATTATCGAATTTATTTCAGAATCCACTCCTGTTGGAGAAAACAGAAGAGTTTTGTCGTTGGGTTTCGAATCTGGACGAGGGTAAAGAAGATACACAAGAAACGACAACAATCGCCAGTCTATTCTCAGGAAGTCTCGAGACTCAACCTCCGACCTCTTGGCCAATCAGCGACGCAGACCTCATCCATGAGCCTAGAGGCCTTCATGCTGAATTCGCCTGGCCACCTGAAAACACTAAGGCACGACAGCCGTTCGGTAGATGGCATGCAAAGTATCCGACTAATACTCTGCAACCGATAGGACAGAAAGGTAAGGTAAGAGAATGATGGTAAAATCCGATCATATGCTATGATATAGAGCCTGCACCTGCTGGACAATAACTAACCGTGAGCACATGTTGCACTGAACTAAATCTACATGCCGTTGACAGTCAAAAACAACCTGGAAATTTGCCGGAAAGTCACTTGTTCGCATCGGCAATTCAGGATTAGGAAGTTGTCTGAAGCGATGGAGTGACAGGGGGCGAGCAACTTTTAAACCGAACAATTGTTGTGCAGGAATGTATGCATAAGATGTATTCGTAGCAATGAAAAACTGATGCCCTATGCGAAAGGAATTAGGCGTATACAACCAAATAGCGTCTGTTATCCTGCTACCTATGTTCAGCGCCACTCCACTCATATTGTACTTAACTGGTAGTAGTAAGTAGACGTGGCGGATGAGTTTGAGGCGATAGTTGTCGCTTCGAAATTAGGACTTATCAGGTGTAAGCTCGTACACCTATCAAATGCTGAGATCAACAAGAACTTGGCATCAAATCCCCCCCCCCGGAACTGACGTAGAATATTTTAAATGTGGCCATTGCATTTCGGAGTGAAATAATGTTTTCCGCTGGAAGTGGAGTAATTTTGCATGCTGCAATGAAGTATACTGTGTGTGATTCTTTTATATTCCTGGATATGACGGTCATTCATAATCGTCGATTTCCGGAAATCAGCTGAATCCTGTCAAAGACCGATTGCGAATGGAGTGAAAGACATTTCCACAGTAGGAAGCGAGAGCGCAGCCATATGACTCCGCCTTAGTACGTTCGAACAATTTAAGCTTCCACATCTAGGTAGATGGTAATGTGTTTATTGACGGAACCCTAACATCCACTCTTCTCTACAACCTAGCGCCTTGATAAATTCAGGACCAGTCTTTGGCCCCCTCCATCAGGATCAGGATCAGTGCAAGCGACTGAGATGAAAATCCAACAGGGCTATAATTCCAAGGTCACCGAAGTTCGGGCGAGAGCTGACCATTTGAACAACAGGCTGAAGCACACGTATGAGTACGCAGCATTTATGGAATACGCAAAGAAAGGAAACAAAAGGATACCACAGGTAATTCGCACTGCTAAATTTGTCACTTCAAAACCAGTTCTTGCTCATCCATTCCTAGGTAACATTCTCGTCAAGTTCCATACAGTCACGGCACGTGGAGCGTCTACTTGAAATGAACAGAACGTTGAGTGAAACACGCTTTATGATATATAAACCCTATCGAGTATCTTAAAATATACACTTTTAATATACACATGAGTCCGTGAACTCTTCAATGGATGTTTTGGTTTTTACCTCAGAGTAGGGATTATTCCAGGCTATAGATTGGAAATGTATGGTGTGCGCCGATGAATGACAAATCCGTATCCGAACATCTTATCCTATCTACAAGTGCGGACGATTAGCTGCGTTCAGGTTGTTCAGATAACTGTAATAGGTGATATGGGAAATAATAATTGCTCGTGGCTCACCCACCTGCTTGTGAAAAGGTATGAAAGTTTTCAAGACATAAAGAAGGGAAAGGCATTCGATGTGGTTCGCTTTGATGTCAGTCAGACGTTCGTGAAAGTCATCCTTCGCAGACTAGGGATGTGCATTGTTGGTGTCTCATCACACCAGTGGATCAGCAATTCACGTAGTGGACAAATGTTGAGGGTCCACGTATTCATCTACTAGTGACATATCACAACACAGTACTGGGAGCCATTTTCCTTTGGATCCACACCAACAAAGTACCATAATTTATTCGATCGCCCTGTGCTTTGTTTGCAAACGACCTGAAGATGTGGAAAGTAACTGAAGCCCCTAACGACTGTGCCCTACTTAAGCACGTCCCTGTGATCTGTTGATGTCAATCTGCCGACCAAACCAGTAGATTCGTTATTTATGAGTTCGGGAAAGGATGGTGGGTGATTGGAGAATCCCCGCATCCTAAACCCTACAACTAAAACTTATGCGTACTCTCATGCTGCGGCTTGCAATCCGTGGAAAGCACAAACTGGCTATATGGGTGCAGAACGCGCCTGCTTCGGACGCTCAACCGCAGCTTCTGTACTTGACTTGAAGTGATTGTCACTTGCCTTTCCTCTCCCGTCATGCGCTTATTGTCCGATCACCTGTAGCGAAGTTCAAAATTTTGAACGAGTTCATCATGCAGCTACCAGGCGCATCTTACTTTATGGGGCATATCGTATGAAGACCGAAGCAAGAGACTGGGGTCGTACACTATGTCTATCGTTGATTTCGTGTGGACCTTGTAATGACACGCCAGATATTGTCTAAGTGACTTATTTATAGGAATCAATATCAGAAATCAGTTCCGGGTAAAGAATTCTTTTCGGTAACTCTCATCGGACCCAAACATTTACAAATCACGGATACTGTGGGGTAAGCGTCAACTCGGGCTGGAATTTACTTCTGGACTGTTTGAATGATCAAAATCGATAACTTGAGACATAGATAGCGATGGTAAAACAAGTAGACTAAATACACATACATACGCAAGGCTCAATAGTCCAAAGTAATTAAGTAGATAAAATAACAGCCAAATATCTAAGTAACAGTGTCCGTTAGCCAAGGTAGTAGTAGCGGCCGTATGAATCGTTTTTGTACACATAATTCCGGCTTCAGCTAGTGAATGTAGATAGCCTCGGCGATGGATAAGAGCTGTTTGCGAAATCCTTGGGTATAGTGTTCAGGTAGTGAATAAATGACTTTGAAGTCATTCTCTGAAGCTGTGTGGCCACATTCAAGGAGGTGCGACATGATTGAGCTGTCTGAAGACCTCATTTCGCCTTTGTAAAACCATGCCGGGATGTGTTCACGAATCCTCTGAGATAGGCGTCTTGTCGTGCGACCCACATTTCGTGCACCACAGGAGCACGAGTACTGATAAACGATCATTATGTGAATTCCATCCGCGTTAAAATGTCGGAGCTGGAGAGATTCATTTCGCAAAGATTACCGGCGGTGTTACGCCTGCCAGAAGACTTGTGACAACCTTTTGAGGAATATGTTGAACTGGTTAAACAGAAAATGGGAGTAAGGAAACAAAAGAAGTTAGTTAGTACGCTTAATAGCCATGTTCCCCAGTTGACTTTTCCGAATAACCCGCAGCGATATGTGTTTAACCTTTTAAGTGTGATACTAACCCAGACGCAGCTGAATGTGTTGTCATTAGGTCCAAAGTTTTGCATACCATGTAAGAAATTAGATCAGGCGGCTTTAGAGGTGCAATTTGAAAGCCTAATTGCTCAGACTAAAGACCTGCTTCCAACCTCATCAAGTGATGTTGAGAATCTAAAATCTAGCCTAGTTCATAGTTGTCACGAATACCTTAAGACCAAACCATCTAGTAATAATATTATCACTAGGGAACAAATTCAGTCACTTAAAGAGCTACGATTAAACAACGAAGTAATAATCTCTAGGCCAGACAAAGGCTCAGGCATAGTGCTAATGGATAGGGTGGATTATATCCATAAAATGCAACACATCCTCAGTGACGAGAGTAAGTTTCAGAGGCTCATGGTAGGAAAAGACAACACAGGGAAGTTAGAGAAACAGCTAACCGGCTGCCTCAGGCGAATGATGCAAGCCAAGCTTATCACGAAGAGCGAATTCGAAAAGCTGAAGCCTTCAGGTGGACACCTACCGAGATTATATGGCCTGCCTAAAGTTCACAAGGAAGGCGCCCCAATGTGCCCAATCTTGGACATGGCGGGTTCTCCTCAGCATTTGTTGGCCCAGTGGATGGTGGCGAAGCTGCAGCCGTTACGGAATATGGTTTGTACTTACTGCATGAGAGACACCTTCGAATTCATTGAGAGGATATCCGAAAGCAACCTTGTTAACAAAAGGATGATATCATTCGATGCCCAGTCGCTGTTCACAAACATTCCATTGCTCGAAACCGTGGATTACGTATGCGAGCTTGCTCGGCAACTGCCCATATACGCAACTTTTCCGGAGAATTTGCTAAAGGAGGTGCTACTTCGTTGCACGTTAAATGTTCAGTTCACCTTCAATGGTGAAATGTATCGTCAGATTGACGGACTGGCCATGGGATCTCCTTTGGGGCCGCTGCTGGCTGATATTTTCATTGCGAAATTGGAACATGGACCACTTGCAACGCATATCCGTGAAACCCGTGAAGTTATCGATTTTGATCATTCAAACAGTCCAGAAGTAAATCCCAGCCCGCGTTGACGCTTACTCCACAGTGTCCGTGATTTGTAAATGTTTGGGTCCGATGAGAGTTACCGAAAAGAATTCTTCACCCGGAATGGATTTCTGATATTGATTCATATTAATGGAATGGGAATCTTTGCTTTGCTGAAGACCAGCATTGTCCGTGATTTATTGACTTATTTATGCTGAGGTCGTTGCTGCGTCTGCGAGCACCAAGCAAAACTCACGGGCCCTATTTCAAGCTTGCAGTTCCGGTCTGAAGCGGACAGCCTACAATCTATGTTTTGAGCGGTGAATTATTGGAACAGTTTGACAGAACAGAGAACAACACACGACATTGTAGTTTGGAACATTTACATACTGGTTAGTGTGTAATGAATAAGGTTCTTAATACTCACACACGTAGTTATCTGAAAATGTTCGGAAATTAACATTATTTAGCGTGAATGCCCGGTCGATTTTCGGTGCATTTATGAATGTTTATATATTATCATATTTACCACGCCATTTATTCAGCATACCGTCCATCCATCCCGTAGCTGAACAAAATGCAGTCTTCGGACCTATAAATCCATAAAAGTCGCTCGGTTTGTTGGATTGCGTTACATACCAACGCGGCAAATGTACACTTCTGAGAGCTTGATTCCAAAGAAGGTTGTAACACGTAAGGATTTTTAAGAGCACCAGCCATCTTAACCAAATATGTACAGTCCCTGAAAACTGTTCGTCGCCTAACTACTGCTATCGGAATCCACCAAGACAAAATTGAGTCACTGACATGTGACGTGTACTGTACAAGGTAAAACGGACATTATAAAACACCATAGACTGTGTTGAGCCGCCTGTTGAAAACGATAGTTAAAACGAGAAGAATTATACCTAATTAGTTTCCTCATGGACCACAGGTTCTGATGAATGAAATTTTCTGCATGATGCAATGATTAACAAACATGGAAAATAAACGAAAACTCATAAATACAAGAGTTTATGGTGTTAATCCAGATTTTTATGAACGTTGGAAGTGCATACGATACTGGATGGTAGGGCAGAGTATAGCATAAATGCTACCTTGGTCACACTTGTTATCGAACTAAGCCACTTCATCTCTAGATGGTTACCGGTATGGAATTCATAAAGATTAAGCTTAATTTGTGCTACCGCCGAAGTTCTCTAGAACTTGGACGACAGTACTAAAGCTTTCGAACTAGGAATCTTTTGGCGCTACTCATTTCTAATCTGGAGCGCGATCTCACCGATCGAAATGACCGAGACTTAAACCAAACAAATAGCAGTTAAAACCTGGATTGTATGCAGCAAACTAGGAGCACGGTAGATGCTTTAAAACCCATAAATGTTCTGGAGTGAAGTTTTATAAAGGTCACTGAAAGGATAGTACAAAGCGTACCGGTATATTTAGCAACTGTCATGTGAAATGGAAGGCTCAAGAAAGGAATCTATAGGTTTCGCAAATGTGCCCATCCTTTTACTCACATAATCCTGATGAAATCGATGAGCATGCAACAGCAAAAAGATCAGTGTCAGAAAAATCACCTCACTAGAGCAATTGGTGCAACATATCAAATGTTATCTGCGGATCCAAGTATTCCCCGTATAAGTTGTCAGTTACCGTGTCGCATCGAGTTTGGATGTCTAGTGATGCGCATAATGTTAGTCGGCCTGCCCCGAACATCGATCCGATCGCAGAGTTCCACCAATTCAGAGCTTCCTATTGTTTATGCATTAAGGACTTCTCTTCACGCTCAGAAGCCTTGGTGCATCTCAAAGTTAGGGCAACGTCGCTCCTCCTGCTCTCTGAGAATGTCATGACGCGGTGATGAGTATTTTTGGCGACGTCTTTGCCGTTTGCACCT